GAGAGTGACAAACTCACGCTTATATTAGCATAAAAAAACAACATTTCCAGCAGAATGGCTGAAAGAATTGTGTGAAGAAGGGAGATAACAGAAAGAGCAGCTTAAGATAGCGTCCTAGTCATGGCCACTCATGAGATGAGGGCTGCATTCTGCTCCACAATCCATGGCATTGTGTTTAATTCTAGGCTTTGAAGGGAAGGATCTTCTAACATCAAAATTGTTCATTTACAGACTTTTCTCATCACTTCATTTTTTAAAAAGCTCATTTAATTCTAAGTTCTCCTAAAATAAACCACGAAGGCAGCCTCTAATTATTTTATAAGATTTTATTCTCAGTATATAAAATCTTACACAAATTTGAGTATTTTGCCATCTGAGAACCAAAACTTAAAGTCTTTATCTCACCAGGAAACTGGGAGTCGAAGAATACTAACAATTACACTAGTAATAATAACAATTCTGTTGGCTCAATAAAAAGTTCAGTCATCAGGAAATCAAACTGTTGGTCTGAAAGAAAAATCAACTGTTACAGCAGACACACAAACTGCAATAGATGATTCACGAGGCTTCTCTTTCCATGATTTCTGTATTTTCCTCATTCTTAGACTTTGTGGACAGTGTGTGTGTGTGTGAGAGAGAGAGAGAGAGAGAGAGAGAGAGAGAGAGAGAGACTTAGAAGAAAGAATGTTTTAGACTTATTAAGGTAAGGCATAAATATTTTTGATTAAATAATCTTAAGTGGAAAGAAGTTCTACATTTGTGCTTGACAGATATAAAATTCTACTTATTCTGTTGACAACACATTGAACTACTAGATAATCAAACCAGATTTTAGAATATTTTCTTATAGCAAGAGATAAGAGCTAAGGCAAAAAGGGTTATTTTTTAATTTTTATTCTTTGGGAATTTCATATCAAACACCCAATCCCACTCATTACCCAGTCTCTCTGTATGTGCCCCTCACCCTTGTAGTGGCCCCCACAAAAGTAAACAGAAACAGAAGTGATAAAAACAAAAACTAAAAATAACTTAAAAATACAAATAAGAATATTAATTTAAAAAACAAACAACAATAACAAAACAAACAAACAAAAAGCCATTTTGTTTTTCCATCTCCCTGCCTCTCCATTGTCTCTTCGTTCATCTTAGTGGCTTTGGGAACTGCTATGTATCACACAGTACACCCTTTTGTGCAAACAGCTTTACTTGCAAATGTTCTTTGGGTAATGACTTGTTCGTCAGGTTCAAAGGCCTCTGGTTTCTGGTATACTATCAATAATGGGCCCTCACCAAAACTCCTTTTAGATACCCTGCTTTTGTTCTGAGTGAGTCATGGAGATCCTGCAGCCTTGTACTGTAGGATCAGTCCCTTCACAAACTCCAGCAGATGGAGTAGCTGTTGGGGAGTGCCAACTCAAAGCCCTGGATGTGTGTCTGGGTGGTAGCTAAGTTTATCTGACTGGGGCACTAGGACCTCCCATCTCAGGCCAGAGGGCCAGAGCCAACTCTCCCATGCCTGTGGTGAGGGGTGGGGCTAGCTTCCCCAAGTGTGTGTTGGAGGGGGCAGTTCTCCTATTAGAGGCAGTGCCAACTCTCCTGTGCTAGGGTCATGGGGGTCTGCTGTCCCAGTGTAGAGAGGATCAGGGCCAACTCTCAGGTGAGGGGGTGGGGTCAGCTCTGCATGACCCTCACACCTCAACACATGGTCCAACTTGGGCCTCTGTGACAAATGGATGTCAACACAGACAAAGGGTCATGTTTTTATGTAATCTGACAATGTTCACTTGGTGACCGGTAAGAATAGTGAGTCATTGCAGAGGAGCAACTACTGGTCCCAAGAATATATTTGTCCAGCTCCTCATTAGCTCTTAGGGAACAGTCTATGTAGAGGGAATTGACATACCACTGTGTAAATGACTTCTTGAAGTATTCCTAAATCACTTTATAATACAACTGAAAATAATCTCTGCCTGGGAAGTTAGATGTAATACATTTGTTTATCCTTCAGGCAAAGTTATATAGTTAACAGTATCAAATTAGAATCAATTTAGTGGCAGTTGGTATATATTTTTGACTAAACTTTTTAATTAAAATACAGGAAATTTCTGGATATTAGAAATGTATAACTAGTTTATCAAAGTGTACTATCTTTATCTTATTTTTGCAATGCTGAGCATCAAACCCAGGACCCGTCACGGCTTAGTAAGCATTCTAGAACTCAGCTAAAATCTTAATTCCTGGAAAGTATTGTGTTGACACATAAGTATTTTTAAGTAGAGAAATAACAAATCTATATCTTTATGAGGATAGTTTTTAAATTCACGCTATAGCATTTATTGCTTCAGAAATATTCTCATTTTTAGGAGACCTTTATAAAAATGTTTAAGTTTACAACGTATTAGTACAAAATCAAATACCGTACAAGGCAAGACCTCAGTAACTTTCCATTTTCTTTAAAAGGGAATACAAGCTTTTTAGAAATAGGAATATTATTTTTGAAGTAGTTCTCCTTATTAAAATTATGTTGGTATCCGGGTGTGGTGGCACATGCCTTTAATACAGCACATGGGAGGCAGAGGCAGGTACTCTGTGAGTTCAAGCCCAGCCTGGTCTACAGACAGAGGTCCAGATCAATCAGGGCTGTTACACAGAGAAAGCCTGTCTCAAAAAACCAAAACATTTAAAAAATCATATTGTTGTCAGTGTGTGTGTGTGTGTGTGTGTGTGTTCATGTGTGAGCACATGCACATTATGTAATGTCTGTGAGGGAGGTCAGAGAACAACCTTTGGGATTTGGTTCTCTCCAACCTTTTTGTGGTTTCCAGGCATTGAACTCGGCTCCTGTGCTTGCTGAGCCATCTTGTCATCCCTGGAGTGGTCCTCTTCAAAGTGTCCACAAACACTGATAACATCCGTTGTTTACTGGACTGAGCTCCTACAGAAGTCTGATGAAATCCCCTTGTAGAACATAGGAGGGAAGATGCCCTGTGTAGCATTGAGACATCCTCCTTTACACCATGCCAGGAGCAATTACTTCTGTGGCTCACCGACCCAGGAAAGATGCTTATTTCTAAACATGAAAGCTGCCCAGCAGGGTACATCGGTCCTTGGGACTGGTGCTGCTGCTGCTCATTTACAGGTTCTGCTGAAGAAAAACTAATTTTGATTAGAATATACAAGGACTGGCAAGATGGCTTATTAGACAAAGACACCATCTGCCAAGTCTGATAACATGAGTTCGATCCCCAGGACCCAAATAATAGAAAGAGAGAATTTACTCCTGCATGTTTTCCTTTGACCTCCACTCATGCACTGTGGCATGTATTACCCCCCCCACATATACACACATGCCTGTACATAAAATAAATAAATATGTAATTAAACATTTTAGAAAAGAGGGCTGAAGACATGGCCCAACAGAGAGCACCAGCTGCTTTTCTAGAGAACCCAGGTTTGATTTCCCACACCTATATGGCAACTCACAAGCATTTGTAACCTCAGTTCCAGAGGCTCCAGTGCCTCCACAGACAATGCACACACATGGTACACAGACAGACAGACATTCAAGCAACACACCCAGGCACATAAAATAACAAATATAACAGCAAATGGTCAACATGAGAGTCTGCCTTTTCATTGGTCATCATACTAACACAAAAGAATTTTAAAACAGAACTAAAAAGTTAGCTTCCTTTATCTCATTCATGTGCTCTGTGTCACCATTTGATTATTTAATTTTAATTATTTAATTTTTAATGAAGCTTTCTCAGGGGTGCCAGTTTGAAGAAACCTTTACACATAATCAGATATCTTCCAAGAAAATCATGTATTGTATTCTTTTTACATTGACTTTACTGAGTATTTGCTGTGCTTATAATGTGTGCGTGCATGTGTATGTGTTATTGTGGACAGCTCATTGTCTCATCAATCTAAGCATATACATTATAACTGAGCTACATCCCCAACTCCAGTTTCTCAATTAAGTAACTTTGGTAGTATAGCTTTTCCATAACAGGTTTAAAAATATACTCTTGAAGATGTAAAATCATCTACAGTTGGAAAATTTTGAGATAATCAGATTTTATGACACACATTTCTTTTAGGTTAGATAGATTCAGGTCACTGCTCACAGGTATCTTTTATGACTTATTTTTTCTATTAATGATTTTTAACTTTTGAAATTAGGATGCAATTCTAATTTCCCCTTTCCTTTTCTCCCTCCAAAACTTTCATACACTTATATACCCCCTTGCTCTTTCTCAAATTCATGACCTCTTTTTCTTTAATTGTTGTCATATATATGACATATATGACATACATGTTACACAATACATATATTCCTAAATATAGGAATACAACCTTCTCAGTCTGTATAATGTTACTTATATGCATATTATTTCAGTGCTGGCTATTAGTAGATATTTTAATAAATAGGATTTGTACTTTTAAAAGATGTATGTGCTCCCCAACAAGCACAGAAATACCATTGCATGTAATGGTAGCTATTTTACCTGTGGAAGGGACTCACCGACTTATTACAATTTTTGTTTATCTTGAGTGGCTTTCTGATCCAGGACCTAGTATGTGGAGGAATGCCATGTAGTCTGTCAAAAGCACACATACACAAAAGAGGTCTTCCACAGAGCCACACGGGCTGTCTACACATGCCAGAAGATTGCTTTGTAGTGCGCCTACGTTCTACTTCCAAAAAGGACTAAGTAAGCCTCTCAGCCTGGGGTGTGGGGGTCTGAGCTCCTGGTTAGCCCAAGCAGGATGGTGAGCAGTGGTATAGCAGGACTGGATGGGAACTTGAGGACCTCCTGCCGCTGAGAAGCAGGCTGTGTAGACAGGAGGAACATCAAGTTAGTCCCAGGAGAAAACAGTCAGATGCAGAAGTGCCTCGACCTCTAGTCACCAAGCACACATGAGCTTCCTTAAGACACACAGGTGAACTAAGACAGCTAATACAGAAAAGTCACTTACCATTACCTGTTTTTCAGAACGCTGCAAATGCAAGCCTGTCAGAGCCACACAGAAGACCTATTTCCGGAACAACTATAACTATGGTAAGGACACCTTCACAATCCACAAATAGACTGCTGGGTTGAGAAACCTGCGTGTATATTACACACATGTGCTTGCATGTGCATAAACGTGTAGTTTAAACATAAGGCTTAAAAACAGAGAAGGACACGTGCAAGGGTTGTCTCCAGCTTCAGCTAATTAAAATGTTATTATGGTTGCAACACTCTCATTAAATGCCTGATGTGCTCACTTTCTTCTTTTAACTTAAAACCATAGCATTGAGTGAGTATCCAGAGATCAGTTTCAAAGTAGATGTTCTCATCCCGGGGTTAGTACCTGAGGTGAATCTGTTCTCTAATAAAGTGAGTCAAAGGACACTGGAAAGCAATACTTAATAGTTCTTGATATCCATCTAAGGGGATGTTTTGCTATTTAAGTTGATCAAGCAGAGCATTTGCATAAGCTAAATGCTAATTGAAGAGCCACCTCTACAAACAAGAGGTGACTTAATGGGACAAACAAGAGTTGACTTAATGGGAGGATGCTAGCTCTACCAGTGACTATTTTGGGTTATTTCCGGGAACTGTCTCATTTAATTTCCCCAACTGTTCATGAACACTCTTTGTATGCTGGTTTTATGAGTGATTATTGAGCCAACGCTGTCCTTTCTTTCATTTTGTATAATGTGCTTTTGGACACTGTTACCCTTCAATAAAGATCACTATCAGGTCAATAAAAATCACTGTCATGTTTTGAAGATGCAGTTAATAGAGTTCTTCAGCTGGTATAATATAGGTCTGCTTGGTGTTGCTGTATTCCACAGATTTTTACTATAATTGCTTTGGAGTAGAGATTGAATATCCCTTTTCCAAAATACTTGGGGCTGGAAGTATTTAGCATTTCAGACTTTCATTTTGCATTTTGGAGTATTTGTAGATATGTGATAATCTTTGAAATGGAACTGAAGCATGAAGTTTGTGTTTCATAGACATTTCCTGAAGGTAATTATAGATGTGTCTTTGATTTGACTGTGACCTGTCACATGAAGTCAGGTGTGGGATTTTCTATTTGTAGTATTGTGTTGGATGTGACAGTAGGGATGCCCAGCCTGTTGAGGAGACTGACAAGGTCATGCCACTCTCCCCTGACGTAATAAGTAAATGGATTGCAGAGACCTCCAAAGGGAACTGTATTATTAAAATAAGAATTTTGTCTTCATATGCCTTACTTTGGAGGATATTGGGCATGTAGAGATTCATGTCAACTTCTACAGTTTGGGGACTTGGAATAAGAGAAATGTGAAAGACCATGACTAAATTATTTTTAAAGATCGTAAAAGTAACTCCTGGGGATAGGAGAATCCAAATGCAACTTCTTTCCCAAGTTTTTCTTCAGTGGAATCAGTTTTTATCTTTTACTTATAATTTATTTAGTTTTAGATGAGGATTCTGTATTTCAAAGGCTGGCCTAGTATATGGTGATATATTATTTATTTATGGTTTAGTAAAGAGTGCCTGAGGATTCAGAAAGCAAAGTCAGCCACAAACCATAGAAGTCAGGCACATGCCTTTAATCCCAGCAGCTAGAAGCTAGGAGGTGGTGGTATACATCTTTAATTCTAGAATTCAGGATTAAGAGGTAGATGGATCTCTCTGAGTTCAAGGCCACCCAGGGATACATGAGATTGAATCAGTCTAAAAGAGTAACAGATCACATGCCTTTAATCCCAGCACTAGAGGGGTATAAAAGATAGAAGCAAGGTTTTCAGTATTAAGTAGGAGGCATTCAGTCTCCAGCCACACTGAGGAGACGTTACAGTCTGAGATTTGGTGAGAGCTCGTGGAGACAGGATCAGCCCATTCAGCTTGAGGTAAAGGTAAGAAGTTAGTGACCAGCTGCTTTGCTTTTCTGATCTTTAGCTTGAAGTTTAAACCTCCAATATCAGTCTCTGGGTCTTTTATTTTTCATATTACACTAGAACTTGCTGCATAGCCCAAGTTGCCCCTGAATTTATATTCTCAGCCTCTCTGGAACTAGAGTTATGGGCTACCAGGTTCAGCTGACTGCTTATCTTCAGCAGAATCTGCTGGCTAGAGAGGGATAGACTTCCCAGGGTTGAAGGGTTAGTTTACCTAAGAATCAGATGCTGAAGACCCCACCCCTTATGGAAGCCCATGTGACTGCAGGGGAAAGGAGGTCTTTGTTTCCAGAAAGCTAGCCCTATAAAATTGATAAAGGTTATGTGAACTTTTAAATATAGTTATGATAAAGGGATGACACCAATTGGCAAGCTAAGCAATAGTGTAGAGACCACCCCGAATGCCCATTCCTGATAGTGAACTTGATGTCTATAACCATCCTGGAGCCTTCAACTAGTGACTGATGGAAGCAGAGGCAAACACCCACAGTTAAACACTGAACTGAACCCAAGGAACCCAGTGACAGAGAGAGAGGAGCGATGAGCAAATTGGCAAAGAATGGGCTGGCAAAACCAGCAGACAGCTGATCCGAACAGGGGAGAGCTCTTGGACCCCAGACCGACAGCTGGGGGGGCCAGCATGGGACTGATCCAGACCCCCTGAATGTGTGAGTCAGTGAGAAGGCCTGGGCAATCTATGGGGTCCTGAGCAGTGGATTAGTGTTTATCCCTCGAATACTAACAGACATCGTGTGTCCATAACACAAAGAGGGATGCTCTCTCAGCCTGGACTCTTAGGGGAGTGCCTGGACCCTACCCTGAGTGAAATGACAGACTCTAGATATCCCCTATATGGAAGGAATTGGCAATAGGGTGGGAGGATGGGGGGGGGTAATGGGCGGGTGCAGGAGGAGGGGAGGGAGAGGGAACTGGGATTGACATGTAAAACAAGCTATTTAAAATTAAAATAATAAAAATATAAAAGATAGTTATGATAAAAAAATAAATTTGCACTAGGGGCCTAGCAGTGTTGAGAAAGTGCTTGCCAGACACGTATGGGACCCCGGATTAGATCATCAAGCCCACCTAAAACTGGTTGTGCAGTTCAATGTCATCCTCTGCGATGTAGTAAGCTGGAGGCCAACCTAGGATACATGAGAATCTGTGTCCAAACAAGCAAACAAACAGCAGGAAAAACAACAAACCTCCCCACATGCATACACACTAAAAAAACACTAGCAACAAAAATTTATTCCAAAGAGATAGAGTCATTTCTATTTATCTTCTCATACTGCCTTTGACTTTATGCAGCTTCCCCGTGAGCCCAATACCTGGTGGTACTCTTGTCGTTTAAAGTTACAAATCACTAAAAAGAGATCTTAGAAAAGGTAGCCGAATGAGTATTATAAGATCAGCTATGGATCACAACTGATAAAAAGAAGGAGCCTTGTGTGGTAACTGACATCTATAGTCTGTTCCAATGCTTGGGAATAGAGCCAAGAGGATCAAGAGTTCAAGGCCCACCTCGACAGTGTTGCAAGTTCAAAGCCAACCTAGGTTTCCCTAGTCATGACTGGGGGAAAAAGAGCAATTTTTTTTTCATAGCCAAATATTAACTCAGGCCATCCATGATTTAAAGTTAGCTCTTAGGTGGAACTTATAGATTCTTAAGGCAAAACAGGTACGCCAATGCTTGGCTAGGAGATAAACTAATGGAAAGGCAATATTTTCTTAAAAATATATTAATTCTCACTTTGTGTGTTTGCATGTATCTATTGGGAAAACAAAGTACAGGCAGGAACAATTGGCAATTCCTATAAAACCTCTGCCTCATTCTTGACTAATTCAGTAAAAATTTGTGAGTTTTAGCAAAATTACTTAAATAATAAAGTAGGTGTTGCAGAGAGGTATTTTTTTTGGAGTAGGTACATGTGCTAAAAATTTCTAATGAAAACAGTGGGTGTACTGGGTAAATAAATCCTTAGCTAGAGAACATTTGCCCAGCTGCCTAATCGCTAGTGGCTGGCAGGCCCCACGAAGCACACTCATCTAAGTCACGACTCACACAAGTCTGTCTGCTAGCCTTCAGAACTTACCGTCTGGAAGGAAGACCTTATCTCTTGTCAACATACAGGGCCGAGAGAACGGGAATAGAAAGGGACTCAGTTTGCCAATCAAGCCAGGCACGGCCAGCTGGGCAGATAGACCTTGTCTGCCACAAACTCTCATACTTGCATCGCAACAAATGAAGACTCTGAAGACTGAAATAGCCTTGAAGCAAAACTAAGGCTTATTCCTAAGGAATCACAAATTCTGGTAACTGAATCTCTGTCCTGTACATCACTGGTAGACCATTAAGTTACTGCGATAAAGTTAGAACATTGGTGGAGGAACGGATTGCCAGTTGGCTTTATGTTTTGTTTTGTTTTTTTTTTTTGGTTTTTCGAGACAGGGTTTCTCTGTGGCTTTGGAGGCTTTATGTTTTTATGGAGGGATTTTTTTTTTTTTTATCAATCCTGTATAGTCCTGAACACCTGAAGTACATGGGAGGGTCTGCAAGTAGGGGGTTTGTTTATACATGCCTACCTACAAAGCTTTCCCAAAGTGGATTCATTTGACTACATTGTGATTCCTCTGTGGATTTTGTGCTAATACAAAAAAGCTTCCTGAGCCATTGCTGTTGACTTTTTATTAATTGACATTTTCACATCATTCTTAAAAAAAAAAAGCAACTTTTCTGTAAAAGTGCTTATGTACCAGAAGTAGAGATCTACACAATGTGGCTCTTCAAAAGGAGAGACACGGGAGAGCAGAAGACATGTGCTTTCTAGATTCACACAGTTTGACTTTGCAATGGAGGGAGGGCTGTTTGTCTTTGTATTGAGAAGTGGAGCTGAGTTCCATAGGATAAGGCAAGTGCTGGTACTTGCATTGTGGGAAGGAGACTGATGCAGCTGGCATGATAGAATGTTCTCCACAACACAGCAGGGACATGGGGTGGCAGAGTAGCTGAGCACAAAGCAGATGGAGGAGACAAAGTCTAACAGGCAGCTTTCATTCAAGAAGAAGGTTCAGTATACTTAACAAAACATGACCTGAAGGAAGGACGGTGCTGACGTCAGGATGCTGAGCTGAGCTGAGCACGGTAAAAAGACAGAAGAACTCATTTGGGAACACTGCTAAACAGTAGTGTTTAGCCCTTGCTCTAGCCCTGAAGAGATTCTGCCTTGGGAAAACTGATCATGTGAAGAATGCTGATGAAGGGATGAAGTATAGAGTTGAGTCTAGGCCTTTACAGAGGGTGATATTGGTGTAAGTTAATTCCTCTTGGCAGCAATTGGTGCTGCCCAATGCATAATCATACATCCAGAGTGAAACTTTGGAGGGAAATATAGCAGATTACACAATCAACTCTGATTATCCAAGTGGGTTTTTGAAAATCGAACACTTGTACACACACATGCGTGTATAAACACCAATGTGTGTATACACAGACACACAATTGGCAGGGAATTGGGGTTGAACATGGAGAAGGCAGGGATGGCATTGAATTTCACTGAAGAAAAACATCTGCCTAATTTCTTTCTAACCACTGAGTATGAAATTGAGAGGAATTGACTAGAAAGAATCCTCCTGGCTTTTTTTGAATGGTGTACCTACGGTGTGCCATCATATAAATCAGATTTGCTTTCTTTTATCCAGTCATCCGGGCTAAAGTTAAAGAGGTAAAGGCAAAGTGCCATGACGTGACTGCTGTCGTGGAGGTAAAAGAGATTCTAAAGGCATCTCTGGTGAACATCCCAAGGGATACCGTCAACCTCTACACCACCTCTGGCTGCCTCTGCCCCCCACTTCATGTTAATGAGGAATACATCATCATGGGCTATGAAGACGAGGAACGCTCCAGGTAAGTTCCCCTAAGAATTCAGGGTAATGTGTTTCCTTTCCAGCCATTGCATTCTCGTTACACACCTCACTGTGATTGTCTTACCTTTGGTTCTTTCTGCTGCCTTGGGAACTGTGGTTATCTTCTAATTTTATATATTGCATAGAAAAGGATATAAGCATAATTTATGGGTATAGATTTTCTGGACGGAGGGATCATAACTTTGTTTATTTCTAGAAGAGGTCCATGACTCCTAAACAGTTAAGACTCTTTTCAACTCTCGGGCTTCCCTATTCTAGAGTAAACATATTTAGTTTTTCTTGAGACCAGTGCCTTGAATTTTTCAATAATATACTTTGTGGTCATTTGATTTGAAAAATGCAGGCTACTCTTGGTGGAAGGCACTATAGCTGAGAAGTGGAAAGATCGGCTTGGTAAGAAAGTCAAGGTAAGATTCGATTTTATGTTCACAGTAGTTAAGTACTGGGGCTAGGGACAGCTCTGTGGTACGGTGCTAGCAAGCACACTCCAGCACCCAGCACCAGAAAACCAATTCTGTCTGGTAATGTAATCCTTAGAAAACCACCTTTCATATAAATTAAATAATTGCCCTCAATTACATGAGAATATTAAGACTTGATATACATACATATACATGTGCATAGATATACACACATACATGGAGTATTCTAAGAACTGAAATTGTCTTTATTGTCTATTCATTTAAGAAATGAATTCTCTGTACATGTATGAAGCTCTAACTACATTTACCCTACCTTCTTGTGAGACTGCCTGTAGTTAGCCAATCACCACAGACTGGCTTCATGTTATCATTTGAACTCCAGCTCCTGATATTGGTAGGGTGTCACCTCCATCTTCATGCGCAATAGAAGTCACAGAGGACTATTCTTCCACCAACATCATACTTCATTTCAGGCGGGAAGAGAGGAGGAGGAAAACACGCCTTTCCAAGAGTTCTTTCTAGAAACTTACCTTAGAACTTTTGATCAGGGCAGGTGCTGTGCTGATCTCTTGTTATGAGAATAGGGAATACAGGATTTTTATTGCTTCTAAATAAATTGCTCTTCTCCAGGAAAGGAAAAAAAAGTAATGATAAATGGAAATATACCACAGTGTCTAATGTACAGACAATAATTCCTATGTACAAGGTGATACCACAGTGACCTGACCAAACTAGGTCCTGAGAACTGTAATGTGACTTTAATATTTTATATTAAGATCCTAGAAGTTACATATCAAAAAAATCAAGTAGTGGATTACTTAGTAAAAAAAATTTTCATTTCTTATTATTGAATTAGCATGTCTTTTTCAAAGAAAAGGATGAATGGGGGAAATGCGTAGGAGGCCAAAAGATCCCCTAAGATGTGTGCTGGGATGGGAATTTTACCAAACATAATACATCCTCTTCTCTCTGAGCGTGGAAGGCTTGGGAAGCATTTACTGGGTAAGCTAAACACCCGTAGGCAGTTGATCTTATACATCTGGCACTCAGTCCAGCAGACACATGTGAATTGAAGTGACCTACAAAAATGTGGAGGGCATTTCATAGATAGAAACTATCACTACCAAGTGCCTCTTGTCCTCAGTGTTTTTGTCAGCAGTTGAGGTGCGTTTCCAATGCTGATCGAGATCGTTCTCTGTTTTCATTTCTCATCAGTTAACCTGGTGTTTAATTATTAGTGGAGAAATGGCTCATCTTCAGAATCTTGGGATCTCTTTTCATCCTTTCAAGTCTGTTTTCTGCTTCCTAGTGCAGAACAAGAATTTGTCCTAAATTCCTGTACCAGTTGGAAGATCTTCAACACCTCTGCTGGCATGGGTAACAAGCCTGGCTGGCTATGTTTTCCCTGGGTGTACTGTTTCTTAGCCATGGTGGATTTTCTTCCCATTGCTTCCAACAGGGAACTCACAGTTTTTATGAAGTCACTGATGTTCTCAGACTGAATTTAAATACACTATGGAAACAATTAGCCAGTAACTTGAATAATTTTTTTGAGACTGTGCCTTGCTGTGTAGCCCTAGCTGTACTGATAGTTCCAATTTAGCCCTTGCAATGTATCACAGGCTGACCTTGAACTCCTAGCAGTCCTCCTGCGCAGGCATTTGTTTTTTTTTTTTTTTTTTTTTTTTGGTTTTTACGAGACAGGGTTTCTCTGTATTGTTTTGGAGGCTCTCGGTCCAGCCCGGCCTCGAACTCACAGAGATCTGCCTGCCTCTACCTCCTGAGTGCTGGGATTAAAGGCATGTGCCACCACCGCCCGGCTGGGCATTTGTATTAAAGTAACACATCATTGCACCAGCTCTCTTCCATTGTGTTTCTTTTTTAAAGAATTTTTACATTTTTATTTCATATGTCTGAATGTTTGTCTCTGTGTGTGTCTATGCCTGAAGGCCCAAGAAGGCCAGAAGAGCTTGTGCTATCCCTTGGAATTGGAGTTATAAATGTTTCTGCACTGTCTCTTGGGTACTGAGAACCTCTGGTCCTCTGCAAGATCAGCAGGCGTTCCTAACCACTGAGCCCTCTCCAGACCCAATTGGCCAATTTTTAATTCATGTTTATGCTCTGAGCCAGAAGTTTGGGGTGGGAAACTCTTCTGGCTGGAATTATTAGGACCCTTATTACAGGTTTTTGGTTAACTCAGAAATGTTAAAAAGACTTTTATGAAGGACATTATTTTTTGTAATCCAATCAAAGTTGCTCTTTACAGCTGATTTTTCTTTTCAAAGTCCATTTAAAAAGACCTTTTGCCATTCTTCTTTGTACATGATTGTTTGCCCTAAGTTCTACAACAGCCAGTAGTTCAAATCAAGATATTTGAATAACCTTGGAGAGAGTTAAGGATCAGATTGCTTTTTAAATATGAAAACAATATTGTGGGACAAAGTCAGCCAAGAAGAATAATTCAGTCTTCATAATACTTCTATTATTTATGTTATTAACCTCAATATAGAGACAATAAAAATGCCATTGATTAAGTTCAAAATATTTGCATAGTAAGTAGTGATTTATAATCAGAACTTGGGTAATCTGGCATTAGCTTCTTCCTACCTAAAGTGAGGTCACTGATCCAGTAGCCCCAGGAGCACTGCAGAGCACCAGATATGGAAATCATGGGACCCCATTTCAGAGCTGATGAACAAGAATCTGTTCCCAGGAGGATCCTCTGATGATTCCTATGCTCACTGAAGTTTGTCAAGTATGGATGTTCCTATCACTTCCTGTGCTTTCAAAAATGGAACCTCCATTCAGTTCCTTATATCATAAGTAAACACTATTGACATTGCTCATATTAAATACAAGCAAATATAATATATCTTATTAAAAACAGCGCATGCAACAACTACAAACAAACAAAACCCTACAATACATGCATTGTAAAACTTGAGACAGAGGCAGGGTCTTGTGGTTTGACTGTAATTGGTAAGTATTAGAAAGCTATTCTAGGAACACCTCATGTTTTCACTATTCAAGTCAGTTAACTTCTTGTGCGTGTGTGTGAGTGTGTGTGTATATGTACTTGTGCATGCTGGTGAATGTGTATATGATAGCTAGAGGTCACTGTTAGTGCCCTCCCCAGTTGCTCTCCATCTTACCTGTTGACACACATCTTTCCTTGAAGCTGACACCCAACTAATTAAGCTAAACTCACTGGCCATGAAGCTCCAGGGACTCCTCTGTCCCCTGCCCTCACTGCTCACTCAGCACTGAGATGATAGACTTGTACCACTCCACTTGGCTTTTCCCAAGATGCTGGATACCAAATATTAGGTCCTTAACACTTGTGCCATCTTCCCGACCACTCAATTAACTTTTAAAAGGTTATATTGCTTTGGTCTTAGGAGGTTAAAAAATAGCCCCTTTTCAAATTTATCAACATATTCAAGTCTTCCACCTAAATATAAACTTGGTAAGTATGGATACTGCTGACATTTGCATCATTTACAAACAAGTGAATTTTATTTCTAAGTTTTGGTATGATGACATTACTGAATGTCTTATAGATAAGATGGCCTCCTTTGTGTTTTTTGAAATCGGCATTGAGTCTATGCAGTATCAATTTCATTGTTATCCTTGGATAGAGATTTCATGCTTTTGGGAAAGTAGTAAAACACTTTAGAGATCTGATTTCACAATCTCCCCCAGCTACTAACGTCATAGAAATGATGCTCCTTGTGCTAAGTCCGTGTGACAGTCTTCTCTTTTACATTTCACAGCGCTGGGATATGAAACTTCGTCATCTTGGACTGGGTAAAACGGATGCTAGTGACTCCACTCAGAATCAGAAGGCTGGCAGGAACTCTAATCCCCGGCCAGCAGGAAGCTAAGTCCTGAAATGCGAAAGACCACACCCATTGACTCCCTACTAAGACTTGCATTGCTGGACTAGCAAAGGAAAATTGCACTATTCCACTATTGTTTACTACAGATACCATGTGGCAACAGATGTTACTTCTGCATCCTCTTCTCCTGCTTCTAAATGGCCTGAGTTAGATCCTTAAGTATGTTATATATTCTATTTTACTAATCACAGGGGAACTGTTCTTTTGCAGCAGTAATAATAAATTAAACATGCTGATACTAAGTTCTCTGTACCGTCGTCCCCAGGTATTGATTTTGTGTTCTGTACCCAAATTGAGAATGCAATATTGGATGTAAGGAGAGATTTCTGGTAATATCTCAAAAACTAGATAATTGCTGAAAACTGGACTCTGCTGGTGTTCTTCCAGCCTTGTTTTTGTATGCCTTTTGGGCATTTCCCTCATGCTATGAAAGATCTAAATGTTTATTAAAGGTAGAATGGCAGTTTGAAATTAAATACTGCACATGCAGAGAAATGCAACACCAGGAAGCATTTATGAGGAAATGCCACACAGCATGAATAATTTTCAAGATTGGCAGGAAGCAAAATAAACAGTGTTAGGAGCCAAGAAAAGGATATTTTGCCTGACTAAGGAGCATGCTGGAACCAGTAGCCCTTAAGCCATTAACAAACAGCCATGTATTTGATTTGTTCATAAATATATTAATGGGCATTAGAGAAAGACGTATAGACATCTACTATTATCACCATCACTGCTTCCTTCTAAATAAAACCCACAGTTAGATGCCCCCCTTCCATTCATAATACATTTGCCTTGCTGTATTGGCCAGAAAAAGAAAGTGTTAAAGTAGCTTGCATGTATACCAGGGTGATGTTTTAAAGAGGTATGTAACTCCATAAAATAGTGTATAGGACAGTGAAATGGGCAAATTTGTTTTTTGTTTGTTTTTTATTTTTTTGCTTTGGGTTTGTGATTTTGGTTTCTGGCATGTGTTCATTTGTATTTTTCCAGGAGTGCGTCTAAGCCGACACACATTCAAGTTGGCCTGCTCTTTGGCCTAGACATTTTTGTTTGAATTTGTACTGTTGAATGCTCAGTTAAAATGTCTAACAGAAGGAGGTGTGGTTGTCAGGAGAGGGATTATTCTGACTCTTAAACAACAACAACAAAACAGTGCAATGCTTTTATTATTCAAGCCGCAGAGATCCCTACAGACCATGGGAAACTTGTGATGTCATTTCTTCCTTCCTGCAGCAGGGATCTTTAGAGCTCGTGCCAATCACTTGAAAGTCTCGTTCCTTGCAGTTTACACATGTGACAATAGTAGACCCAGATTTCTAAGCGATGGTGTGCTGAAAATAAAACATGTATGGAGCAAATGATGCTGTGTTTCCTTCTGTAAGAACAACTGTGCAAGGATGAAATTCATTCCTGATCGGAGATTTCTTATGTTGGTAATTCTTTTTTTTAGAAGCAAAAAAGCATCCTCACCTTCCAATGAGCCCTAAACACCAAAATTTCCCCCAATTCCAGAAGCAGAGTCCCATGTTTGCCTATAGTAGGACAGCTCAGGCTTGGATCGACCATGTGGTTACTTTCAGGTGCCTTGTACTGTATTCTCTGATATTGGGGTAGGGGTGTATCCTCCTGGGCGCTATTGCCATCCCCTTGAGGTGAACTTTGTGTCACTAAGTAAGGGTGAAGTGTTGAGATACTGGCCTCCAGTCTTTCCTCACGGTATCTGCATTAGCTTTGGGTTCCCAGACTGAATGCACCCATCTTAATTTGGTTTTTCTCTGGGCTTCCACAGCAACCCTGGGAAAGGGCAGGACTTCGTTACAGGAGACTTGAAGGATCTGGCATCTGGAATCACTAACATGCCATCAGTGTTCCCAGGGCATAGTTGAAGCTATTTTTTTTGTTTGCTTGGTTATTTGTTTTTGAGACAGGGTATCTCTGTAGCTTTGGAGGCTGTCCTGGAACTTGTTCTGTAGACCAGGCTGGTCTCGAACTCACAGAGATCCGCCTGCCTCTGCCTTCCAAGTACTGGGATTAAAGGCATGCGCCACCACCACCCAGCAGTTGAAGATATTTTAAGTGATGAAAGTTTGACTGCTTGTTTATTTACTTTTTTATGGTCCTGAAGATGGAACCAGGCTCTAGGGATGCTAGGCCTTCTACCACCAAGCTACATCCCCAGCCAGTGATTAAATATTTTGATATAAATGAAAACTTGCACGTGTTTTGTGCAGGTGCGTAGATTGGAAAACATAATGGTCATCAGTATACGATGTTCATATATAATAGATTTAATTCATATACAACTGCATTTATAGACAAAAGGAGGCAATCTCTCAGATTAAGCAATATTTTTACTACCTTCCATTTTAGTCAGCTATACTGGTAATGTTTGGTCTTGCCTGTTTGAGACTTGTTATTTATTCGAACATTTTTTTTGGAAGAAATATTTATTTTTTTTAATTAAAAACATGCATGCTTCACATGTCAATCCCAGTTTTGTCTCCGACCCTTCCTCCCTTGTCCCTCCACCAGTCCCCCAACCCCCCACCCAATCCCCACATCATTCCCCAGGGAGGGTAAGGCCTTCCTTGGGGGGAATCTCCAAAGTCTGTCATTTCATCCAGGGCAGGACCTAGGCCCTTCCCCATGTGTCCAGGCTAAGAGAGCATCCCTCTATGTGGAATGGGCTCCCAAAGATCATTCACACACCATGATAAACACTGATCTGCTACCCAAGACCCCAGTGATTTCTGTGGCCTCCTTACTGACACTACATTTATGGAGTCTGGATCAGTCCCCTGTTGGCGTCTCAGGCATCAGTCTGGGATTCAAGAGCTCCCCCTTACCTGGTCATCTGTCATTGTGGGTTTCACCATCATGGTCTTGACCCCTTTTTATGTGAACATTTTTAATGTGACAGCACCTGTGAACTCTGCTTTTGTCATATATGTCTTACTAGTGCCTCCCTACAGGCCCTTTATGCTTACATTGAAAGCCACTAAAATCCAGGCAGTGGTGGTACATGCCTTTAATACCAGCACCAGGAAGCAGAGACAGGCAGATCTCTGAGTTCAAGGCCAGCCTGGTCTACAAAGCTAGTGCCACAAAGCTAGTGCCACGACAGCCAGCGCTACACAGAGAAACACTGTCTTGAAAAACAAAAACAAACAAACAAAAGCCACTAAAAATTTAACACACATGCCTGCTTTTTAGTAACTCTTGAGGCCTTTAAGGTCAGTTGAAATTTTCTTAAGGAAAATTTGCTCACCTTGAGGATCTTAGCTTTCTTAGCCAGACAACAAAATAGTCATACGCTTGCTAAACGAATCAGTGCAAAATGAACAGCGAACTCGTTCTCCCTTTCCCATGGATCCATGAGTATATTACTGTATTGTGTATAGTGTAATCTGACTCGGTGCCATATGGTGCACTGAGCATTGGGGGTGGGGTGGGACAGGCCCGTGTCTTTCCACATCTGTTGCCTATTAAGAAGTCAAATACAACAGTTGCAATCACTGTGAGTAAATAGCTCTACTTATTGCCTTCTGCAAGAAATTATTTGCTATTACATTTCAACAGTAAAATGACTTTTTAAAAAGCATTTCAAGATTGGTAATTGCTTAGCCGTATGGATTTTAAAGTTTTAATACAGAAAAAGCACTAAGGAGGATGGTAAAAATGAAGCAGAGAGTTTTAGTAATGTGTCCCTGAGATGCAACCTGGAGAATTAAAATATATGGTTCCCAGCTGCACACATGTTAACAAAAATAATGTACTCATACCTTTGATGGAGATCTCTTTGGGGTCCTTCTAGCAGTGGCAAGAAGTTATACAAAACATTTACATGTGTCCTATCGGTGCCTTAAAAGTTTATGGTTTGATTCCCACTTTATAGATGAATTCAAGGTTGAGGACTTCAGGCATCCTAAGTGGCAGAGAGGGGCTTTAGAACCTCTTAGTCTTCTATTTCCCAAGTTGTGTGTTTTCTGCTGTAATTACTAATAAAACTATAAATGTACCGTAATGTGGCTTTAAAAAGCACAGTGTAAAATGAGTGGGAGATCTACTCACTCCGCAGCACCAACATGACAGTTAACAATGATGTCAGAAAATCTACATTGCGTCATCCAATACTACCCCCAAAAACTGTCATTTTACTCATGCAGGTGCCCCCCATCCTGAAGTCAGAATTTCAGTGTAATTCTTCTAGTTCTGAATAATTGGGTAAATAAGCCAAGTGATTCTTTTGACACTGGTGGCCTAAAGATACATGGTTTTGAACTGGAGAGTAGTTATCTTTCTGTCTTCCCTTTGAATCTGGGAAGTCTGAAGTTCCTAGTGTTTCTCAGTGCGTGGAGGAAGGGGAAACCAAAGCTCTGTGGCTGCTACACAGAAAACTCAGTGGCTGCTTTCCAAATGGGAGGGACTGTCGCGTCCTAGACACATCATCACCTTTATGGCTGCACCAACAGGGGTATCATAAGCGAAAGAGGAACTCTTCCGTGTGGCCTATTTCCCCAGCTTGTCATTCTTGAAGTACTTTTGTTATGACAGATTCACCATGCCATTGCAAGACAAAGATGCTTTTCTCTGGATGAAATGCAAACATTTAAGTTTATCTGTTTGGTGAATGTTACAAACTTGAACTGCAGGCCGGTGAAGAAGGAAAGGGTATGATAGGTACTTCAGGCCAGCTTGTCTAAAAGGAAAGGAAATGCAAAATGCTGAGGAGCCTGGTGCAGCAACGAAGGGAAATGTGGATAGAAACTTTTCAGTAACCACGGGGAGATGAGGGCGAGACAGCACTCGCTCTACAGTGGCATTGTAGTCACATGTCTGCATAGAGATGTGGGATGGATGTTACCAATGTAGGTGCTTCTGCAAGATGAGTGAGGCAGGAAGCATGAGCTAGCTCAGAGATGTTAGTCTAGATGGGGCAGCAGAGCGTTTCATCAGAGTGTTTCATCACATTGAATGGTAGCTGAAGCTCATGAGTAAAGCCGGTGGTATTCATTCTAATGTCGATTTCTACATCATTTGGGTGTTTCTATGGAGAACATAGCTTCTTGGAGGTTATATCCCTGTGTGTTGGTGTAACTGGAACCAAAATTTCTGAGGGAACAACTGAACAAGTGTGAAGATTTATTTTAGGGCTCGAGAGATGGCTCAGCGGTTAGGGGCACTGACTGCTCTTCCAGAGGACCTGGGCTGGTTCCCAGCACCAACATAGATGTTAACAAATGTCTGTTACTCCTTTTCTAGGGGATCCAACACTCTCAATCTAGACATACTTGCAGGCAAAACACCAATGTACATAAAGTAAAAGTAAACTCCTGCACATTTTTTTCAAAAAGATTTATGTTAGCTTCTTTTCGGATATTTGATCTCTGTTCTTGGTTTCGTTGACTTTTCATCCATTGTGAGGCAGAGCACTATGGTGGGACACTGTGATGGAGGAGGCTGTTCCCCTCATGGTAGACAGGAAGCAGAGTACAAACATCAAAGACACACCTTAGTGATCCACCTCTCTAGCTAGCCCCAACCCCCTAAAGCCTTCAGAAGGTCTCAAAGTGGTGTCATGAACATTCAACATTTCAGTTACGAATTGATGGACCATCAATCATGAAGCAAATATTAAAAACTAGTATTCTTTAAATTCATTGTTCAGTATTCATCTAGCGCATTTAATTTTCTTTTGGATCCCTAGATCAAGCAGTCTGGATCTCTACCCACAATTCCAGAGCTGAAACTGCCAACCCTCCTCTTTCCTTGGAGACAGCCCTTGACATTTAATCAAGACCTTTTTGTAAGCGTTTTGGGATGGGTCGGGACAGGATGGAACAGGAGTGGATCAGGTATTCTGGCACTCGGAAGTCACAGAATACTGAGTGTTATACAGCTCAGGTGGAAAGGTATCCTGGAGCTTGGGAGCCACAGAATACTGAGTGTTACACAGTTCAGGTGGAAAGGCATCCTGGAGCTCGGGAGCAAAGGATACTGAGTCTTACACAGCTCAGACGGAAAGGTATCCTGGAGCTCTGGAGCCAAGGACCACCACAGGTTGCAGTAAGTTTAGCAGCTTACAGGCTTGCCTCAGGGGAAGGCTTCCCCAGTGTATCTGCTCCAGCAGGACAGGGTCTTCCAGCTGGGGATGTTTGCCTAGTGTAGCAGTTTTGCTCCGCAGGAGGTTGCTACAGTTCAGCTCTGCTCCTGGAGAGCAGAAAGCAGAGAGAGGGGAGCTGGGGAGCAGAGTGTAACAACTCCGCTCTGCCAAGGGAAGGTTTCCCCAGGCAAGTGTTACAGCCCTGGTCCCTCTGCGCGCTTTGCTCTGCCCAGAGTCGCCTCTGCTCAGTCACTG